AGGATCTATAGAACTCCCAAGCAACCCACAATTTAAAGCACACAAGGAAAACAATTGAAAACATAGTTATAAGCTAGCCCTAAGGTAAACCTCACTTTAAGTTAAGTCCCCAGCAGAGTCGCCAGTTCTGTGATCGGTGGATCTGGAACTGACTGTTTAACGCTGGTTCGCGAAATGTCGCGGTAAGCAAGAGTCGCCACCGTCTTTTATTTTCTCCAATAGGAAAGGACAAAAGCACAGAAAAATTCCTTTAAAGAGATTTCTCTCGGTTCGGGAGGTAGGTTATAGAAAGGGAAGGTGTTAGCACCCTTTCTATCCATGGTTATCCATGGGCTCTTAGATACTTGCTCAATGTGTTTTCAAAATTGTTTGTTTGCTTTTCAATGTGGGTTTAAAAAGTTTCTTTGAAAAATTTCAGATCGACTCATACGTCAGAGTGTTTGAAAAGTTTGTTTTGAAAGCTTTTGAAAATGTGTGGTGTGAAAAGAGTTTTGTTTTGTTTTTAAGATTAGAGCAAGTATCCTTGAGAACCTACCTACCCTAAGGAATTCGTCTGTGTAAGAGTCCTTAAAAGTAGTGCCATCCCACCATTGAGAGGTAGGTAGCACCACCGTTGGAGGTGTTCGGGTCAATTCGAGGGTTCGGGACATGGTGATCACCGGAGCAATGGGAAGACACCTTAGAAGCTACCCTCATGCCAGGTTCCCGGATCATGAGGACTTACTAAGACATCCTCTACTCGACGATCACCTTTCGAGGCAAGGCAACAGTGAGGCGTACCCTAGGGGTGGTGTGTGCGAATCGTGTGTCGTTTTCAAGTATTTTGTCTTTTGTCATGTTATTGGTGATCTACGCTTGATTTTAATTAAGACATTCATTCTTTCATGCTTGGTTAACAGTTATAAAATTGCGGAAAAAAAAAGAAATCTAAGGCTATTACAAATGGCGCGGGTCCACATCGCCAAAATAAACCGGACCCGATTTAGCGGAAAATAAACAATGCGATAAAATAAAAGCGCGAAAAGTAAATTACATGGCCTTGGGAGATTTACAAAATTATAATTAAACGAACATAAAATAAATGCGCGAAATTAATAATTAAAACGAGACTAGGGCGTTGGACCCTTTTGCAAATAATTAAAATTAATAAGGATTAAAAATTAAATGATTAAATGTTTTTTTGTGTTTTTCAGATTTAATAAGAAAAAGGAAGTTAATTGAAAGTAAATTAGACAAACCCTAATTCTAGTATTTTTTATTTATTATGAAAGAATTAAAATATGACCTAAATTAAACCTAATTCATTTATGTACAATTTAAATAGGAAAATAAATAAATAAATAAATAATATGATAAAAACAAAAGGAAAAAAAATTAAAAGAAATGGAAATTATTCATTAATCTAATTCTAATTATTTTTGGATTTTTATTTGCTAAAAAAGAGAATTAAAAGTTAAACCTAATTCACTAAATTATTTACATATTAATTTGTGAAAATAATTATAATATAAAAATTATATTTTTTTCGTCTTTTCTGTATTTTTAATGTCTTTTTATATTTTGGTGAAAAATAAGTTAATTAAATTAATAAACCAAATAATAATTAAAAGATAAAGTGGAAAAATAAAAGGAGGGCAAACCAGAGTGGGGTGTAGCCCCAGAATTGGAGGTATAAATTTGAGAGGCCTGGCCCAATTGTATTCTGAGTTCGTTGACTTCTTTGGATCTCGTATGGCACGTTGACCAGCACCTATGGTGTTCCTTGAATCTATGCATTTGATTTGCAAGCAGCTGGACGCGTGTTCCCTGGATTTTGAGTGTGCATGGTATGCTCTAATGAGGAATCTGCATGGGAATTGATTTGGAAAAATAATATGGAATTATTCAGACCTGGGGTTCGAACCCAGGTCTTGGAGATTGCACGCTTCTATCCCTGCCACTGAGCCATGTGATCTTCATTTAATATATATTAACAAACGAATAATATAAGGAGAATTTAGTTAGTGGCCACTAGAAATAAAAAAACGCGCGCTGGTTTAAATGAACCAACCAGCGCTGGACACGATTTCGTCTTCCTCTCCGTCCCTGTAAAATAAAACGAATAGGCGACGGTTTTCATGCGTGGGTTTAGACACCTTTAGGAGAAATAGCGAATAGCGCTATGTAGCTCATAAATTGTTCGCGAAGGTGGCTCCCTGTTCGTCTCAATGTCCTGAACTCAATGGTCCTGGTTTGAAGCTTCAATTTTTCTTCTTTGCAGAAGCCCCAATTTTAAAACCTGTAAACCCTAGACTACGGACATGGCAAAAGCGTGTATGATGCGTAAAAACCAAATTAAATCACATGACAAGCATTAGCAAACATCACTGAATAAGAATATGTAAATCAAATGTTATGAAAATGTCCTAAACTCAAGATGCGTGTATGCAATTTTGTGAGAAAACCTTGAGTTCTGTACAGCGTTTTTCTGCCTTTTGATGAGTGTTAGGTATGGGACTGTGCTTGGTGAACCACAAGGAAGCTGTTGTGAAAGGAATTAGGCTTTTAATCCTCTCCCAATACTGATTTCAGAATTTGGTTTTATGGCAATTTTTTCAAATAAGCAATGGAGTTTTCAGCGCAGCTTGCAGTCTCTAGAGCATTAGGTTTTCATCTTGAATATGTATAGAACGATTTTAGGTCAAGAAAACTAGACAAAATCCATTGCATTGATGATTTCCAATATTTGATTTTGTTAATATCCTTTTGAATCTTTTTCCATGGCTTTTGTGTTCAATCAGCTCAAATCTTATCAAAACTTGCCATAATCAATTAAGCACGAAATATTGAGATTAGAATATGCATAAAAAGATTTTTTAGGTTAGGTTTGATATTTTTCATATATTAAAATCATTTAAATGAATATAAATTAATATTAATTCAAATAAATAATTTAAAAATATGAGAATACTTCCCTTTGGGCCTAGTGGTCGTGCATAGGCTTGGCATGAAGAAACTTGGAAGAAAATTGGGCCCATTTGCATTTTTAGGCCTTTTGCATCAATGTTGACTTTTCAAAATTCCTAAAAATTTCCCAACTTCCACAAGGCATAACTTGGTCAATTTTTAAGCTTTTCACATGTTCTTGGACATTTTGGAAAGGTCTTTGAGTCCTTTAACCAATGCCTTTGGTCCCATGTCATTTTGATTTACCAATCTCAAGTTATGGCCTTTGACTTAAAGTCACTTTTTGTTGACTTTTGAAAATGACCTATAATGTTGAAATTGATAACTTTTTGTGAGAGCATTTCTTGGACTTGGGACATGAAGATGAATTGTAGGAAATGTCTTTATCTTCAAAATGAGCTTTGGATGGAATTTTTCTGATAATCCATGTGAAAGTTATGCCCTGGTCAATTTCAGTTGACTTTTCAGCTGTCCAAATATAGCAACTTTTGCATCTTTGATGATTTCTGAGCCAAATTTTGAGAATCATGATCAAGCATTGATCAAATGATGTTTGTGGCTTCAAAATGATATGTTGACCAAAAATTTGAACTTTTGACTGCCAAATGACCATTTTGCCCCTACAGTTGACTGTAGTGCAATCTAGGGTTTTGACTGTGCAATTTTGAGCTGAATGCCTTGAAACTTGACATGAGGATACTTGACCATCTTTGTAGGCATATGAGACTTGATTGGGCCTTTGAAAAGTTCATTTGCTTGACCAGAACTCAAACCCTAGTTTTGACTGTCTAGGAGACAGTTGAGCTGCACAACCCTGGGGGGAATTTTGTGACCTTGACTTTGACAATTCTTAATGAATATGGGAGGGCAAATTTTGGGGTACAACACTAGTAATTAGGTAGAGGAGACGATCAGATTGATGTAAGAAAAATAGCGTTTGGAGTCACGCCGTTGCCGTCACCGCCGTAAGGTGATTTCTGGCGCGGCTAGGTTGTCTTCTCCGGTGAAGGCTCCTAACAAGAGAGAAGAGAGAGCACCGTGTTAAGAGAGAGAAAGAGAAATGAGTTATGGGCATGTTTTGTTTCATTTAATTGGTTTTAGTTTTGTTAATTATTATTTTTACAGTGACTAATCTTGTGGTGACACTTGTCACCACCCCTTAACCATTATGAGGGATCATACGCATGCATCCCCATGTTAGTCATTTGTGCACCCTCATCATCCCTCCGTCTGTTTCATATCATCATTTATCATTGCTCTTTAGTGTAACACCCCTTCTAAAATACCTCGAATAATATTAATTATATCAATGATTAAAGACATATTCCATCAGAGTTAACACGGAACAAGGGATGTCACAATTATGAAATAAATAAAACTTCCAATAAAACAGTAGTCATGCTACACTGAGGGTCATTATTCAAATAATTCAATCAAATTAAGACCATGTCTTACACAGCGGAAAAATACCATAACCAAAACGGAATAAACCAAAACATAATTATTCCCAATGAAATTCAAAGAAACAATTGAATAATAACTAATTCCCCAACTAAACGTTCCCCGGTGTTACAACCTATCAGAGCACGACACTGACACGCGGACTTAAAGTAACATAGCTCTAGAGCCACTACGAAAAAAACATTTTTTGGCAGCGCATCTACGAAAGCGCTTTTAAGAGAAAGCGCTTTCGTAGCCTTTAAAAAAAATTCGCTTAAAAAAGCGCTTTTATAGGGTTTCCTACGAAAGCGCTTTTCAGAAAGCGCTTTCATAGGTATTTCAAATATCTAACCTACGAAAGCGCTTTTGAAAAGCGCTCTTATAGGTGGCCCTATAAAAGCGCTTTTGAAAAGCGCTCTGAAAGGGGGACCTACGAAAGCGCTTTCTAAAGCGCTCTTATATGGGGGACATACAAAAGCGCTTTTTACCTCAGAAACGCTCTCATATATGGGTCTTAGAAAGCGCTTTTAAAAGCGCTTTCGTAGGTTATATCCCTAAATACGAAATTTGCCCTCACTTGTTCATTTCTTCGTCTTCTTCATTTCTTCTTCCTGTTACCGTTCGTTTCTCGCCGTCGCCGTTACTGTTCCTGTTCGTTCTTCCCTCTTCTTCAGTCGTCGCCGCCGTTCACGAACAACAACCAACACACCATTCAGCGACGACGTTACTGTTCCTGTTCGTTCTTCCCTCTTCTTCAGTCGTCGCCGCCGTTCACGAACAACAACCAACACACCATCCAGCCAACAATCTTCACCGTGACACCAGTCGTTGTAAGCATCACTATCATCTTTCTTTTGAGTTTCTTTTGGTATTTTCATGATACTGTTGGTGCTGATTTTGTTTTAAGGTGTTAATGTTGAATTAGAAATAATGAAATTAGGTTAATAGTTTAATGTAAGCCATGTTATTTTCCTGAATGAGGACTTGTTGCTAACATTGTTGTTATTGGTGTTAAATATGATTGATACTCATATCGGTGTTAGTATTTTCTTTTATGGTTGTGTGAATATGAATGAGATTCTGAATAGTAATTGTGTTAATCTGATTTCAAATTGTTTTTGTTTTGTTTTTTATGGTATTTTGTTTGAAATAATCTCCATCTGTGTATGGAAGTTTGTTTCCTATTAGAATGCGGGCTTTAGGTGATATATTATGATGTCAGCACCATTCTTAGGAGTATTTTGTGTGCTATTTTTCTTATGAGAAATACTACTTGATTTGAATTAATTTGAGTGAGTTTTTTGTTTCAATACCATAAAGTTTGAGTTTAACTCGAGTGATATTTTGATGTCGATGTCACTTTATCCGTATTGATTTTGAATAATAGAGTTTGGCTAATATCGGTGTTCAAATTATGTTGAAGTGTTGATGTTAGTTATGAAATTGAGAACAATTAGTTAATTTTCTGTTAGAGTGAATAGTTGGGTTGTTAGTAGTTAAATTGGCTTTGGCAATAAGTTAAAACTTTGTTAGTAGTTAAATAGTTGGACTGTTAATAGTTGGATTGTTAGTAGTTGGATTGTTAATAATAAATAGCTGGACTGTTAGTAGTTGGACTCTCCCATCAATGATATCACAGTACCAACAATTTAAACTAGAATGACAAGTTTGAATTACATTCATTTTTTAGTTTGGTCATCAAATGCCTCCGGAGATTGTAAGGTAAAAAAACATATGAAAATGGATATAAAAGTCCCTTACATGGCATCTTTTCAAATATCTTTTAGTTATAATTGTTATTTCCCTTTTTGTAATGCTTTGTATTTATAGAATTATGTATATAGAATTATGTATATTTCCCTTTTTTCAAATATCTTTTAATTATGTATTTACAAATCTAACACTATCCTTTTTCTACTTATTTTTTGTTTATATGTTTCTTATTTGTGGGTTGATGTATGTTTTATTTCTCCGGGTGCATGCTACATAATTTTGGTGGTAACATTGAAATGGTTTGTGTTTTGGATTATATTTGTGGGTTTATGTTGACTTTGTGAATTCACTATTTCTAATATTTGTGTTGTATTATTGTCATAGCTTTCCCAAACATTGAAAATATATATGTGACATTTATTGTGAACCTTTATGTTAAAATAGTATATATCTTTTGACAATCGATCCGAAATATTGAATAACATTCTATGAACTTGCAGCATTTCCCGGCCTAGTTCGACGTACGACGCTCATTCTCCGCGTTTCTTAGAGTTCGAAACATCTGAGAGGTAACTTTATTCCTCAAATTACTGGTATATATTGTGATGAATTTGTCTTAAATTGTCTTTCGTATGTTGCATTTTCTTGATACGGATTCATTCCGTGTATACTTTACGTTTTGACAGAAACGCAGTATACTATTGTTTTGTGCACTAATTAGTTGATATGGATAAGACATGGATGTATTCCAATTGATTGTCGAAAGACTACGAGAATGGTGTTTCCGAGTTTGTTAAGTTTGCTGTTGCGCACGCCAAAGACCCCAGTCGTATGACATGTCCCTGTTTGTATTGCTGTTATAGGAACCGGGTTGACGCAGTTCAGTTGGCATCGTATTTAATTCGGTATGGAATTGATAGGAGTTATACATGTTGGAATATGCATGGTGAGAAAAGTAACGGGAATGTTGAATCGGGGTATGCAAGGACCTATGTTTCAAATGATGATTGCACAGATACATACTGTTGTACCCCAAAATTTGCCCTCCCATTTCCTCAACATTTTCTCATCACAAGATCCTTGAAGATCAAGATCCAGTTAGGGTTTCCTCTGCTCAAGACTTCTCCTTGCACAGTTGACCCAAATTAGGGTTTGTGTTTGCACAAAGATATTTTGACCTAAAATGCCTAAGATGACTTTCATGCTTCATGTTGGATTTCCAAGTTTATCCATACCAAGTTTCAAGTCTTGATTCCATGTTTTGCCCAGTCAATTGGACAATTGACCTAAAAATCAACTGTATTGGGGAAAAAGTCAGTTGTGAGCAATTGACAGTCAAATCTCATGAAAATTGACCCACATCAACATTATGAACTCATATGGACCATTTGATCAAATTTGGATCACAATTCCACAAGAAATTTGATCAGATCACCAAAAGGGCAAAATGGTCATTTTTAGGGTTTTGACTGCACAAAGGCAATTTTTGACTGTTTGACCTAGACAATGGAAATTCAAGCTCACATATGGACTCAAGGACTCAATGGCATTGTCTTGACATGTTCAACAAGTTCAAAAGATCCCAAATGCACAAGATTAACAGTTGAATTTCCCAGTCAATTGATCAATTTTGACTGTATACTGAAAAGTCAAACTTTGACTTTTTGGTCAAAATCAAGAGTCAAGATTCATTTTTCATCAAAACATGCCAAATCATGAAACTTGTTCACCAAGAAATCAAAAAAATGCAAATTAGGGTTAGAAATGAGAATTTTTCATAACTTAGAATTTTTCTAAGTTATGAAAAACCCTAATTTTTTCCCAACTTTGCCTCACTTTCTCACCAAGATTCATTTGGATTCAAACAAAAGTCAAAACATGAAAGTTGTAGCTTGTTGCATAATCTACAACTTTGATTCACAAAGTTTTCCCAAAAGAGGCTTGTATCTCAAGTTACAATTTTTGGAATAAGGGTACTAAACCATTCTTAACTTAGTGAAATTTTAACCTATTTTGGCAAGGTTTTCTACCTAACTTCAAGGCCATTTTCCATACACTTCCACTTGGAATTTCAATTTTCATTTCAAAGATGGATTGTAGTACACATTCCAAGCTTTCCAAAATGTCCAAGAACTCATCAAATAACCTCATAACTTGAGAGATTCGAACTTTGCAATATGGCAAAAACTCACTTTTGAATTGGTCATGTACATGTTCATAACTTATGCCATTTTCAAGTCAGCTTGGTTTGTGCTACATTACAGGCCTCTAAACCATCCAACACTCAATAATTTAATGCATGTTCATTGTGCTAAGGCTTTGTTTCATGAGTTTGTGCATTACATGTTGAATTAAGCCATTTATGGAAAAAGTGAAATAGCCATTTTTGCAAAAGCAAGCTTTATGTCAAAGTTGCAAATCCACAAGTACAGATGAAATCTAATTGGCATAAGATTATGAGCAAAACACTCTGATCAAGACAAGGTTAGTAGCATGTTTAGGGGGCCTCTACTGGCCTAGAACATCAACTTGGCTTTGCTTGCTTAAGTGTGAAGAAAAGTGGCATAACATAACACAACTATCATCTCAGCATTAGAACACTGAAGCAATTGTTTTGTACACCTTCTAATCATCCTAACTAAGCTAGCACACGACTCCAACACCTCCAATACCTCCACAAACTCAGAACCACCCTCAAACTGCTCAAATAGAGTTCTCACTGCAGTTTGAGTGTCAACTCTCATCCCTTGCATGATTTCTTGCCCAAAGCTCATCAAACACATTCCCTAGCATCAATGCAAGCTAACCAAAACCTAAAACACGACCTGTAATTCCTCTAAACAGTTCCACCATTTTTACTTTCTTGTTTTACAGTTGGAGGTCTATAGCTCGATTCAAGGTGTCTTAAGGCAAAGTAAGCATTGGAATAGCATCACCACACTTCAGGCAAGCTGTACAGATCATCATCTTGCTCTTAAAGCTCCCCCATTGCCAGATAGAAATTCAACTGAACAGGTATTTTCTTGAACTTCTAACTCATAGTCTAGCCATCATTAGCTCTAAGTTTGTGAATAAGAGTTGTTCTACTCATGCCCCTGAATCTGTACATGCTTTTACTTTTCATTTATTTTGCTTGAGCTGTGAGAATTTAAGGTGTGAATATGGCAGAAAAGTTAGGTCATGATTTGGGATTATCAAAATTCTCTCTCATTTCTGAGAGTTAGGATGAGTTCTTTATATATTTAAAATCGTAATTCAATGCTTAACATTTCTTATGTTGGAAGTCTGTGCAAAAGATCAAGGAATCAGGATGTTTGAATGGAGGTTCAGGCGCGCGCTTTTTGAACATTTTTTGTTCAGAGGTTGAAGAAGAAGCTTCATGGGCTGGGCTTGCTTCTGAATTACTTTTCACACCATATTTCTAATTTCACACCCCCTGAGCCCATTTTGTGTGCTTTATTGATTTTTTTATTTTTCTTTTTTCATTTTGGTTTATTTATTTTTCTTAATGATATTAAAAACATAAAAAACATTTTTTACACCATTTTTCTATTTTTTAGGCATTTATTTGTTTATATGGACATTTATACATAAATATATATATATATATACTATTATTTAGGGAAACTAGAAAAAATAGTGCAAATATACTTTATTTCTGATTTTTATTTCATTTTTCTTTTGAAATATTTTATACAAAATATACTTTTTTTTATAAATATTAAATATTATTATTTTCATATATATAGTATTTATTTAGTAAATAATAAAGATATATATATATATATATATATATATATATATATATATATATATATATATATATATATATATATATATATATATATATATTAATATACTTAGGGCAAAAATACTAAAATACATACATTTTTTATTTTTATTAATATTTAACATGAAAAATACCTTTTATGAATATACTCCATTTTATTTTATTTTTTGTATATAATTATTAAATATTATACATATTAAATGGTTAATATATTTACTTAATAAAAATTAGGGTTTTACCCTTAAAATGCAAAAAACTCCAAAAATAATACTTTTTATTTATTTGACATAAATAATACTTTTTTATATATACATATAAAAACCCTTTTTGCATTTTGCATCTTTATTTCACTTTCCATTTAATTTATGCAATCAA